TCCACCATGGATGTAGGGCAGACTTGTGTTGATCGTGATGTTGCTGCTGAGCTGGAGTAATTAGTTGAGATATAGCTAGTAGCAGCTGGCCGCTAGCCTGAAACTCTGAGTGCACTTCAAGCGAGCCCATTCCCTTCCTCCCCACCGAACCCCCCCCACCGTACTCGGCCCCGAGTCCCAATGGCTGTGTGCAGCATGCCAGCTCACCAACGGAGGCCGATTTGGGATTTCTCAGATCTCTCTCTCAATCATTAGAGGCAGTGCCTCACCTCAGGAAGAGCAGCGTTACCAAGCATTCTTGCGACCATGGATGGCAATTGTAGGACAAGAAGAAAGTGCTGGATTTGAACCCTGTGAAGAGGTAGATCCCGATTTTTGAGTGGGTGGCGTCTTGCGGTTCTTCAGGAATTAGCCAGTAAAAAGGGGACCGTAGGCTCTTCACAAAAAAGGAGACTAGAAGGGGACTGACCTCTTCCCTGCTTGGCAAGCACACACGCACACACCAAGTGGTGCTAGGTCAAGACCGGCAAATGAGGGCATTTCCTGAAAATCCTAAGTGGCGTTGGGTCATGGTGTGGCTTCAGATTTTGAGCAGGGACATTTGGCATGGTATGCATGAGAGGTGACAGGCTGTGAAACGGCAAGTGTGCACGGCTGAAAAAAGTGAGAAGTCACCCAACAAACTATTTAACTATCAGGCTCCTTAATGCCGTCAGCGGTATATAAGGCAACATCCTAGCGAGACCAAAGCTAAAAGGACAAGGGAACCGGTTTTGCAATGCACCAACACCATCTCCTGGGCGCGGGTCGGGGTTGAAGTCGTCACTGCTGTCACCTGGTGTGGCAATTTCTTAGTGTCATTTCCTCGTCAAAAACAGGCATAGTGCCGAGGGCTCTCACAGTTGAGCTGCTGACCTACCAACGAGATGAAGAAGCAGAACCCCCTCACCAGCAGCATCAATAGAGGGCACCAACACTGGCAGGTAAATAGGTGCATCAGGCGGCACTGCATCTTCGACCGGCAACCCCCAAGAATGCATGTGGTGTGATCGTGAAAAACAAGTGGAAACACATCGTAAAAGACTTCATTGTTCAATATTGTTCAACATGTTTTTCTTGGTGTGTCTATGATTTTTTGAGCGCTTTTTCTTGGCGGCCCCCAAAGGAGTTTGAGGTCTCCATGCCGAAAGGAGGTGATAAACGGATATAAACGGTCGATATCCGCTGAGAATGTAGCGGCTTCGACACAGCCTGAGCCCTGTTGATTTCTTGGTGGAACCTGGTTACGGGATATGTCGGGATCTGGTGTGTAATGGCTGTTTTTGGGTCAGGGCTAGGTTCAGGAACAGCAGGTGATTCATTGACCGCATCAGTTTTTGGCTCAGACTCCTTTGAACGTGGCCATGACAGTGGTACATGGCACAGTGGTGCAGGGCACCGTGGTCGGACAACCTGTGGTTTGGGAGGATCGATGGGGTTATCCCGTTGGACAACCGGTAGGACCGGTTGTGACTGATGACCAAGGCGCTCAATCAGGTTGGTTTCTCTATGCCATTGGCTGGGCTCTTTGCTGTTGTTTTGGGCCTGTTGGGCCCATCTTTTGGCTGGTCGTGGGCTGCCGCCATTTCTGCAAGCCCGAGGAGGAAAGGAAACGACTTCCGCAAGAAGGTCAAGTGGCATCAGTTTCACTTGTGACTGCTCTCCTCACCATGGCTCTCAATCTGGTCTTGATGACGATGCTCTTAGGTATGATGCCATCCAGTGTCAGTAGAAGTGCGGACAGATTTCGCTGAAGACATCTCGTGATGTTGCGAACCCAACTTTGAAGGAGTTAGCTCTACATACACAAACATAGGTACTTGCGGCAGACAATCCGCAAAGCGTGATGCCTGCCATAGCCCCAAGCGCGCAGACTCTAGGGCCAGCATCGCACTCAAGGGGGTGCCGTGATCTATTTCTTTGCGCAGACCGTTCCGTCACATTCCTGCAGACGTAAAACAGACACCACACTTTGCTCTAGCAACAAGACGCTACGAACGGGGCTCCTGGCATCGCTATGGGCAAGGATGCTACTAGGACTAGGAACAAGAAGCTAGTGACAGCTACTTTGCTATCACTCGATGTGTTGCTCTTCGCTTGCTTCTTTTCGTTTTTGTCCGACTGACGCTGTTTCTTTGGTTCTTCGGATGCTCGAATTGTTGATCACAGTTTTGGGTCCGGCTTTTGGATTGCTGAAGAGGCTTGGCATTTGGTGCACGCTCGAAACAGAAGAGGCGCCAAACGAACAGTGGTGTGACACGCGTGCACTTTGGGAGAGAAGGCCTAACAGGTCTAACATGCAGTCAAGGGAGTGCAAGGAGCGGCATTTCATTGTCATTGATATATGGTCTACTATGTAATAGGTCGACAGGTCGACCACAAACCATTATGAGGCCACTTTTGTTTAATTGACATGGTGTGACATCATGCATTCACAAACCAAGCATTTTAAGCTCTTTTTGTAGCTTTTCAGTAAGCTCCAGGCTGGGTGCAGCCCAGACGCCTCAACCTCAGAGTTGTCTTCTACAGTAGGATGCAACGACTTGAAGTTGAAGGCATGGAGTAGAAGCACAGCACACACGTCGTTTACACATGAGCCCAAATGTCCCACCAAAAGGATGGGTATGCTTTACGGAGACTGCTACTAGGGTGGAGGCCATCGCAAGGAGGTTGGAGGCCATTGCTACTAGTTATATAGATTTATCATTTTTTCTGTCTTGGATCACTCGAGGCTAAAGCCGCAGCCTGTCTTCAGAAGACAAGGTAGCTCCAGCAACGTCCTGAGGACGGCGCATTTCCTCTCTCAAGCTTGAGTTGAGAGGCCAGCGCACGCCACGACATAGGCATAGGCGGCATAGACATTTTGCAATTGAGTGGTTTCACTTGTCAGCATAGAGCACAGACCAATGAGCAGCAGAAAGACGCCCGGCAGGAGCAAGCAGAGCTCTGGGGATGGCTCAGACAATGAGAGCGACAAGGGAACCGTCACCTCGAGACCCCGAAGGTGCGCAAAACCATTCGGCCAACACCATGAGCAAAGTTTGGGGCAACGCCCTGAGGCGGTAAGAGCAATATTTGGTTTGGTGAGAGCCTGGAATGTTTGGCTTGCCGAGTTGGAATGATCTAGAACCCCAGCCCAATGGAAGGGTGTACAATGTGTACCATAAACAAGTTCGCTAGAAACAACATGAACAACATCCAACGAGCTCGACAGATGTTGCCATTGTTTTTCTGTATTTACCTCGTTGGGAGATTGACAGACAGAGTGGCAGAGCAATTGGGCCTGCCAAATGATCCATGCAGTCACCCGGTTGACAGGGTAAAAGACAAAAGTCAATTTTGTCGGTTTTTGTGCCGGAGAGCCAGCAGCGGAGACAAGTATATATAAATAGAAGAAAAGCAATTTATTTTGGAGTACAAGTGTGCAAAGATCATTGTTATTCATTTTGTGGAAGACTATTCGTTTCAACAGGCGTGGCCGCTGCAAGACCAACCACCAAGACAGCAGAGCACTCAGAGCTGAAGAAGACTAAGGGCAAGCACACGCACACAATAGGAGACCTGATCTTATATGGGTATGTATACATGTATACCAATTACACTATATCGCCTTTAGAATCAGGGACTCTTGCAGTATGATTTTTTGTAGTTTAGCTTGCCCACAGGCAAGCATTTGTCAGGTAACCCCGAGGAGAAGGATGGCTAAGTAGGGGCGTTAAGTAAGCAGCAAATAACTCAAATATGAAGTTAGAAGAGCGACGGCTTCCTTGACGACCTCTTTTTGAGCAACAAATGAAAGATGCTTAACCTAATTAGCAGCGATGGCCTCCACCCTAGTAGCGATGGCCTCCAACCTACTAGCGATTGCCTCCAACCTAGAAGCGTCCTTCTTCTTCCATTCTTTTAAGATTGTAAGCAGAGGCAGTTCACAGAGGCAGTAGGCGGTGCCTCTCAGCTGAGGTGAGCCTGGCCGCCACCTCAGATGGTTGTCATTGAGTGGGATTGATTATGATAGATTATGTAAGAAGCAGTACTTGATGGGCTGAGGACCTAAAATATAGAGACAAACTTTTTGCCACACACTTGTGAGGATTTTTTGCCTCTTCAGATTCTGATCGAAGAGACAAACATCAGACGTTTCATGGGAACTCCAAGGCTTGCGTGTGCCGGGTGAGACTGATGATGGCTCGTCGGGAGCTTGAGTCAGTTGGAGTCGGATGAAGATGACCCGAGAAGTTACTACTAGCAAACATTGTTACTACTAGTAAGGCACTTGTTACTAGTAGCGTGGCACTTGTTCCTACTAGTAAGGACAATTTGCAAGCATCCTGGGCAAATCCTTACCCTGTTGGGACAAGTGACCTGTGCAATGCCAAGCATTTTTTGCCATGATTCGGGGGGTGCTTGTGCGTCTCAGGCCGGGTCGACGCGCAAAGCTCACCCGTGCTAGCACCGCCAATTTGGGCGGTAAGCTGTCGGATTCCTCAGTTAAAGATGCGAGACCTTGGTATTCACACCTTGTGCATGTACCAGGAAAAGCAGTCCTTATCTCGTCTTCAGTGCGACTCAAACTCAGGAAAGCTCCAGATTCGAGTCTTAGACAAGTCTCCCTGGCAAGTTGCTTGTTGTTGTACTGCTTAGCCTCAACTCGCCACGTGCTCTAGAATGTAGACAGTTCGATTCCTTGGATAAAGCCAGTTGGCCTGTCAGCAGTTTTAACTTGACAGTCCAAGATGTGTGCCATGCGGCAGTGCCATGCTGTGTCATGATCTGTGCTTGGGTCTCTTCAATTGAGGCTATCACAGAGGCCCAAACGCTTTCCGTTCTCTACTAGGGGCTTCTGGCCTTACTGCTAGGAGCAAGGACGCTACTAGGGGCTCCCGGCATCGCTGCTAGGAGCAAGGACGCTACTAGGGGCTCCTGTTCTCTCTTCAGTAAAACACCATGGACGCCGAATCGCGAGATCTTCAGCTCAAAGCACGAGTGCAATTGCCGCTCCAAGACGCCATGGCGGACACAAAGCCCAGGAAGAAGATCACCGCGGTTTCTTTGGCAGAGCATTTTGCGTTCTTAGGATGGCATTCTGTGGCATTGACCACAGTTTGCCATCTCTTTTTTGGACTGCTAATTTCTAGAGAAGAGAGGTAGGCTACAAGCTTTGACAACTGCAGTAGGTTTTTGATCCTCAAGCATCCTTATTTTCTCAATGTCAAGAACCAAGCACGAATGCAAAAAGCATCGTGACACCGATGTTTTGCTGTTGCGAATGGATGTCTTGAGCCACTGTGGTGTCACGGTGACAGCAAACGCTTACAACATGCGATGCAGACACCTGCATATGATGTTGAGGCTGAACTGGCACAGCACAGTACCGATTCGAACGCATGGATGGCCTGTCATGGACTTGTCTTGAACCTGAGTAAGGTGCAGATCCAGTGCCAAAATGTGGGGAGTTTTATTTGCGTTTTATTTTGTTGCACGCCCATAATTGTGCCATTTCATGTAGAGCTCGCGGAAGAGTATATTGTCAAGATGGGAAATCTGAGTGAGTTTTCGTTATTAGGAGCAAGGACGCCACTAGGGGCTCCTGGCCTTACTACTAGGAACAAGAAGCTACTGGGGGCTCCTGGCATCGCTACTAGGAGCGATCGGACGCTACTAGTGTGGCCAGCCAGAGGTTGTCTTTGCTTTGCTCAGTCGAAGCAGGAATTCCTTGAAGAACATCCTGGTGGCCCTGACGTGGTCGTTGCATTGGCTGGCAAGGAGCATTGATATATCTTTTGTGAAACATACCGGATTAGGTGCGATAGCACTTGGAACAGCATAGGTGCAGCAGATAAGGGTATAACGCCCGTGACGAAAGTTGATGAGTAAAGTTGATGACATCCATTTGAGGCTCAGGTACTGTAAGGTTGTGTCAGTTTCCTGGCCAAAGTGTCACTTTTGCAGGATGGGACCCAGGACTTCGAGGATATCTCTCACAGCGACAGTGCTCGCGAGTGGGCCAATAAGTGCCTCGTTCGGTTGTCAAAAAGGTTGATCATCCTGCAAATTCTCTAGCCGCGACAGGGTGAACACCACTCATGAAAATGATCTGAAATGGATCAACATCAGCGGTTGCAGTGAAATTACAAACAAGATAAGGCAGGCCTCGGAGAACTTGTTAAGATGATTGCATCACCCTGCCACTCTTTTTGACTCATTTCCCCTCCCAAGGCTGATCATCGGCTACATGAAGGGAACGGAGGAAGAGGAGAGCGAGAGAAAGGTGAAGATCGTTCCGAAGCATGCCGAGGACAGTGACAATTGGAAAGTACTCAGCTTTAGGAGGAGATTCGTTCAATTGCAAGATATTGCAAGTCTTTGATCAACCAAACAACCGTATCCAATCTCATTCATCCATATAGAGTGTTGTGAAGGGAAGGAAGGAAACAAGGTCTAACAAGGAAAAGATAAGATACAGCAAGAATCAACAAGACAAGAAAAGAAAGAAGACAAGACAAGTCAAGGTCTTTTGTTGGTGTATATATATATATGTCTATTATTTTCTCACTTGATTTTTTATTTGCACATCACACTTGGTCGACAGAGGGTCCACTTGCGAGGCTGCTCGAGGAGGCGGCGGTGGAGGAGGACTTGGTGCCTTTATCCCTGCCGTCTTGGTCTTGATTCTGGCAGGGGCGGCCTATTTCTTCCTGAACAAGTCCTGAGTGCCGTGTACCAAAGCCGAAGCCACAAGCTACCGCAGGCGCAGCGCCAATGGCACTGCTGGAAGAAACTGTCACCCGGATTTTGCCACATTTTGCGAATCTTCGTGTTGAAAGCAACACCGCGACACCTAGACTCTCAGAAAAAGTGTCAGATGGTGCGTTTCCAACTGTCATGATCTTCTGCTTGGATGCGCCATGGCACAATGCAGTGCAAAGCTTCGGGTCGCAGTGGTTCGGGGCCAGAATCATATTGTTCTAAACATGAAAGGCTGAGAACAATTTGGTGCCAGGGCTTTGCGGAGACGAAGCAAGACCCGGTAGAGATAGTGAAGGACTCAAAGATGCTCAAGGCTTTCACCAGCAGTCTGAGAGGCCGAGGAATAATCGATGAAATCAACAAGTAGACTGGGTTTACTGGGAGGGTTCTGTTGGTTTTGGAGGGGTTGAGCTTCATCGTGTCACATTCTTTAAGCCACTGGCAGCTGTTTCTTTCACCAAGGATTCACCCAAAACGATGCCTTCCAAGAAGGCGCAGACTTTCCAGCATGCTCATGTTCGTGCTCAATAAAAGGAGCAGTAGATAGATCAGTATAGATCAGTAGCTCTGACTCCAACATGAAGTCAGAAGCGGTGACTTTTTCACGTCACGGTTTGCGTTTCAAGGGGCTACCTTGATCAAACCTTGATCCCATCCAGTCTTTACCCTGCTGTTTACTTTCTTCCAGACACATCAGCAGATGGACGGTGTTTTATGCCGCATATTATTGTGTGGCTTATTGTGGTAAGTGGTACATAGGCAGTGGATTGACTGCAGATTTTGACTGCAGATTGGGTCAAACACGGTTGAGGCCTTGGAGAAGAACATTGTCGAGAACGAAGAAGCCCAGAAGGCATTAAGCCCAGCAGATCTGAGATCCAGATAGATCCAGAGTGTGCTTTGGGTTGACCATGTGTGACAGCCGTTTAGCCTTTCTTGCTGGACAGTCTTGTGACGGGAAAGAGGAGAATTTCGATGCAAGGAATTCTTTCAATCCACTGAATTCACTTGTTCCTAATAGCTTCTTGTTACTACTAGTAAGGCACTTGTTACTACTAGCGTGGCACTTGTTACTAGTATTCAAATTTGGCCATAGATGCGAGTGTAAAATCTGAGCTTGCCCAGCAATGCACGTTGCATGATGTTGCATGCCGGCAGGTGCCACCATTGCCGCAGCGAACGTTGCCTGGCGGTTTCACTGTGGGCGAGCGGGCAGTCACCATGGCTTGTTTCGACTTATGGCTGTTGCTTCGATATGCAGCGTAGCTGAGCGGAGCTGGAATGCCTACTGAGAGACCATTTTCCCTTAGCGCCTTAGGAGGCGGAGGTGCTTTCTTCGTGAGAGGAGGAGGGCCGACAATTTGCTCCTCATTCCGTGTCTCATTCCATGGCAGGTCACTCTCATTTCCAGAGAGGCGCAGAACCAGTCGCGGACCCCGGCGTGTTTGATCACACTCCTGCGGCCAAAAGTTGTCCATGTGCGCTTTTTTTCCTAAACAGCTTTCTTCGGCAGCAGGTGATTTGGGAAGCCGATCTCAAAGGTAACGAGGACGCTACTAGGTGGAGGCCATTATTAGGAGCAAAGGGCATCGCTACTAGGAGCAAGAACGCTACTGGGGGCTCCTCCCCGTACTACTAGGAACAAGAAGCTACTAGTAACAAGAAGCTACTAGGGGCTCCTGGCCTTACTACTAGGAACAAGAAGCCACTATAGTAGCAAGGAGGCACAGAGTGACGGGAAGTGGAAGACCTTCTATCATGGCCAGGTTGTTAATGGAGCTTGGCCAAGAGGGCAACATTGTCGGAGCGGCTTGTGGTCTCAGCGTGCTCCGGTGTTGTGTGAGAATGGGCAATTGGGCCGCGTAGTGGGCTGAAAAGTGTTCTCATGTGCTCTTGCTTGCTATACCTTGCGGTCACTTTGTAGCAATGGTGTCAAGTCCAAGACTGAAATCCAGGGATAGTAGTGGAGAGATTGAAGATATCCTAAGACCCAAGGAAGGACCACAGTAGCATCCTAAGGTCTTTGGCCGCGTAGTTGTTCAAACAGACACCAGACGAGTCACTCAGGTCGAGCAACGGTGTGGTGGAGATGTAGACCTGCGGCTTCTGGTCCTGGACTTAGAAGAGGCAGATCAAAGAGCCCCAGGAGAGAAGGACGATCAAACAGATCCGCAAACTGTCATTAGTTCCAGACATGGCTGAAGTGCCGTGCGCTACAGAATTCAAACAGATTTCAGTAGGCCGTGCACTATTACGATGAGTGAAACTGCTGAGAGCAGTTTTAGTTTGTATATGTTGGTATCTTTGAAATGCTGAGAGCTGAGGTTCAGTTCCCACGTGGGGTCAGCTGGAACTACTGGCATGGTTATGGTTACATCGTGGCAACTGCATGAGAAGAGTGAACTGGCTATTGTTTGGGCGAGGAAGTGCAACCAATAGTAAGCTTATTAAGCCCGTTGCTTCAATCTGAGTCGATGCCTCTTTCCATTGGGTTTATCTATGCAGAAGGAATTTACCGGTTTTACATTCGAGTGGCATCGAGTACGTGTTTGTTTTCGGCCCCTATCCCAGCAGGCAATCCACTTGGTTTGTTCTACAGAGCCACGGTGTGCTTGGACAGCGGACTAGTGGCAATAGACCACCCGCTAGCAGGAATCGTAGGGGGCGAGCTATGAAACCTTGCTTGTGGCTGGATAACCCATGCTTTCTATAAAATGAAGTTTGAAAACAGTGAACTCTCCCCTTGACTGTTACCCTTGACTGCTATCCTGGCAATGAGGCTATTATGAGTTCATTCATGCGATTCCTGGGTAATTTTTATCACGTTGTCCAAAAGTGGCAGGTGGCTGTCACCATCACAGCTCAGCCGGGGGTCCTCCAGATTGGGGAGCATGGGATGGCCTCCATCCTCATAGCGATGCCCTCCAACCTAATTGCGCCAGCATGTTGCCAAAGCTGCTGCATCACAGAATCTAGTGACTCTAGTGAGGGTTTGTGGCAACAATCTGGACGCTATTCTGGATATTTTTTTGCGTGCAACATCTTACGAATTGAATTTGTGCTTCATTCGCATTTGGTATGCCGTTTCTTGTTGGTTTTCTACCCCTTCTCATCGCCCAGCTCTAGTATCTACCTTGAGGAACCTTTAGCAGGTGATTGTTTATGTTTGTGAGACGATGTCGTCAACCTTTGCCTCTGACATCTCGTCTGTGAGATGTCTCCCAGGTCAACCTGCACAGTTTGGAGCTGCACGTGCTGCGGGGATCTACGGATTTAGCTGGGGTGCTCGAGCAGGGGCCCCAGACCCTGCAGCGCCTCATGAGCTTCATGATCCGCGAAAGCCAAGTGTCTCATGAGGGTCTGTCTATTTTTCGCTTGCACAATGTCTTTCGATTTTCGCTTGCAGCGTCTGTCTTCCATTTCAGGTACGCTCCTTGGTGACATTGCTGAAGCCTCAAAAGGCACAGCAGGAGACGGGAGCCGAGCCTGGAATTGTAGTGCCGTGTGAAACAGATCTACTGGGCATTACATCGACCAAACGGCAAACAGCTTGATAGCTTGTTCGACACGGATTGTGTGGAGTTGAGGCTCACTTGAAGGTGGCATATGGCATGCCAGATGCTGATTTTTGAGGGCAGTCTCGCTTGGCAGTCGCCCTGTCGTCAACTTTGTCGCTCTACTCTGGCTCAAGTTGGGCTTCCAAAACGGAAAGACATGCCGCTCTTCCAGGCTCGGCGGCTCCGCCAGTGGAAACAACAAAAGCCTGGCATTGTCGTTGTCAGGTCTTGCGGAGCTTGGGGAAGAGCAGGCTCGGCTGAGCAGGCTCAATGCCTGTAACTTGCCGAAAGAGTTTCAAGACGTTCACCCAGTCCAAATAAGATAAAGGACATTTGTCACCCAGTCTGTTCGTGCTAAGCACCAGAGGCCCTTTTTCAGCACCTGTCGCCCAAGCCCGTTACCCTCAACCCTAGCTGGCCATGTAGCCCAGAAAGACTGTGAGTGGCACGAATGGTTGCAAGTGAGAACTGGAGACTTTATGGACCTTTTGTTGTCACCCACCAACTCTAACCTTCTGAGATACAAGCCATTCATAATCTTCACATTTTGCATGTAATTTGCATTACAAGTCGACGTTCCCCTGTCATTACAAGTCGACGTTCCCCTTTGTTTTCTCATGTTTTCTCCAGAGATGTCAGCACTGCGACGATCGGTCTCCACCGAGGTTTCCAAGTTCGAAGCCTTCAACGTGGCGGCCGAGGCCGACGACGCGACGCCCTCGATGACTGAGACGCAGGTGAAGCACTGGCTCTCGGGGCCCAAAAAGCGTGACGGGGTGAATCTCGGTGAGCAAGGACGCAGGTGAAGCACTGGCTCCTGGCCTCGCTACCAGGAACAAGGGCCTCACTACTAGGAACAAGAAGCTACTAGGAAACAATAAGTAGAATTTAATTAGAATCTAATTAAACTTTAGTTAGAGTTAGAATTAAATTTAAAGTAGAAATAAATGATAACATTAATATGAATGGTATCGCTGGCAGGTTGGAGGTTGGAGGCCATCGCTGGTAGGTTGGAGGCCATCGCTAGCAGGTTATCGCTAGTAGGTTGAAGGCCATCGCCAGTAGGTTGGAGGGAGTCGCTATTAGGTTGGAGGCCATTGCTTTTAGGTTGGAGGCAATCGCTGGTAAGTTGGAGGCCAAGGCCACCGTTATTGGGTTGGAGGCCATCGCTGATAGGCCACCGCTATTGGATTGCGCTATTTGGATGGGGGGCATCGCTATTGGGTTGGATTCCAAATGGTTTCAAACTGAATGTGTGGTTTAAATCTTGGTCCTAGGATAGCTATTGTTCAGTTTGATCTTTTTTTTTCGGCATTAGCATTCAGCTCAGGAGAGCGTATCAAATTGCTCCAATCCACGTGGGCATGTGCCATCCTCCACAGTCAGAGGCGGTGCAGCGTGATTTGCTTGAGTGGCATTGAGAAATTATATAGAGCAATTTGTAATTTTTGTGTGGCTCGCTATGTTGCCCAAGCAGGTGCTCCTAGTCAAGTCTCAAAACCATAAGCACTGCATGCATGATGCCAACTTAAGAATTTGTTTTTAAAATGGATCCTC